TACAGGTTGATCATTCAAGCAACATAACCTCTGTTCTTTCGGTAATTTCTACATGTTGTTTTTGAAAATGAGCCCTCATTCGTCTTACAAAAGCTTCACGATCTCCACATTTGGCCGTGATGTTGATATACTCTGCTATTCTGGCGCCTTCCAGTTTAAAATTACAGCTATGGAGTGTGTTGGCAAACAAAAGGCGCAGGTTGGCAACCGGGATGGTGGAGATAAAGCCTGGGACCTGTGTGAACACGTGATATAAGCATTCGTGCACACGCACACACACACACACACATACACACACACACACACATGCACAGACACACACACAAGCACACAGACACACACACAAGCACACACGCACAGACACACACACAAGCACACGGATGCACATGACCCCACAGACGCATGCGCATATAAACAAACAAAGGAAAAGCATTTAGAATTTGCTCGGCGATGTTGGCCTATGCCAACAGCTTCTGCCGCCATCTCAGCACTAGCGGGCTCTCGGCCGTTTTTCATGCAGCTGAATTCCCAGCCCCCAGCTTGCAAAACTGGGAGAAAGTGGACGTGTGCGCACCAACACACCGGACAAGCAAAACCGAGCATAACCGAGCAAAAACAAGCAAAAACAAGCAAAAGCAAGCAGAACCGAGCAAAAAAAGCAAAAAAAATGATAATTCACGTTTCGTGTGGGAATCGCGTGACGCTCGGCTGGAGACAAGTCAAAACAAGCAAAAGGAGGCAAAAAGAGGCAAAAACAAGCCAAAAAAAAGCAAACATTGAATTTGAGATTGATGTTCATTCTTGCGTTGGTCTTTGGATTTTGCCTTTCTGCATGCACGTATCCAGCCGCTTCATATTTCTTTGTTTGACTTTTGACTGATGACCATGGATTCGTAGATCATTGCCCTACAGTGGAGATAGCTGTGGCTGTAATTCGAGGCGAAGGGAAGCCACCACACCCAACCAGACTGTGAGGAGCACACCAAAAACGCCCACCCTATCAACCCCAAAAGCCTACAGCACTGTTGGGCGCCGAAGAACGGTCAGACTAGAATTTCACCAACTTTTAAGAACGGCCTACAGTCCATTTCAAAAAGATTTACAATCAGGTTTTGGTCTTAAAAAGTATGAAGATAGGAGAAATTTGGACAACAGAGTACATAGAATGGCTTGTTAGGACACGGCAAATTGTTCTGTGAAGGTTTCGGAACAATTGGACTAGCCGTTAAGGAGTTAGAATTTCGGCCAGGTTTCCGGCCTTTTCCCATGGTTTACAATTTGCCCTGGAAGCCAACCAGCGACTCGGCCTGCTCCGAGAGGCCAGGGGCGGATCCAGGGGGGGGGGGGGTTCGGGGGGTTCGAACGAACCCCCTAAAATTTTTCCGACCATGGTGCATTTTTTTTATTTTTTTTTACAAACACCAGGCATGCGAATTGCTCCTAGGATCCTGGCCGGCCGTAGCGCATATACATGTATAGCCCGAGCTGAATCATGCAGATGTTACATTGATATGATCCTCAGACGAACACCTTGCCAATAGGGCTTGAAAGTGCTACAAGTACGTCACTCCATAGCAATGGCATAGCAACAATTTGAAAAATTCGAAAACTGGATCCACCTGGATCCAGTTTTTGTATGGATCCAAGCACATTTCAAGCGGTCTCACTCACAGCAAGGTGATGTTGCCAGTGAAACTGACTGATTTGGCTAGTGGGGGCGGGGTGACAACTGGTGGCGAAGTAAAAGTTGCACCTGCATACGACATGAGTGGGTTGCTATGCACCCACATACTGAGGCAATAGCAAAGTCACACCTTAGTGGATCCAAAATAGAAATCTGATGTCAATTTACTACTCCCAGGCCGTTTTTGACGTCATCACTTTCAAGCCCTATAGGCCATTCCCAAATCGGCCATTTATTTTGGCCTTTTCGGCTTTTCGATCGGCTGAAAAAATCGCCAGAATCGGCTGAAAATTTCTGTATAAGGTGGAACTTATTATTATTATTATTATTAAGAAAGGTTTGCTCCCCACACCGGAGCTCGCGCTATTCCGCCGACTTTACTTGACACTTGACTGACTCACGACTGCCATCCAGAGCACACGAGAAGTCCATCGAACCTTCGACTCGGCAAACCTGCAAGAAAGCACCACTCCCTGCTCAATACACAGTGTTTCGGGGAATTCACCCCTCATCAGTTGAGCTTGAGTAGGCTGAGGAAGATTGTGCCTGAAGAGCACCACTTATATAGTGCTCTCCAGGCACAAACATCACCAGGGATACAAACTTACAGAGACGCTCCGCGGAATAGCGCGAGCGGAATAGCGCGAGCTCCGGTGTGGGGAGCAAACCTTTCTTACAAATCATCGCCGAAGTCGCAACCACTACTTCGTATTATTATAATTATTAAATTTTTGATAGGGCAATCCCCACAGGCCTAAGGCCTTTTGACAGAAATTCGGCTCTAAAGTCGCAGCCATCTTTCGCAAGCAAGTAATGATTACAGAAATTGTATTTGCATGCTATTGAGGCACTAAAACATCAATTTTCGGCGAATTCAGTGCGAAAATTGCGTATTCGGCTAAAAGATCGGTGATTTCTTCAAAACCACTATTTTCGGCCAATGTTTCGGCCGGCAGATTTGGGAAATGCCCACGGGCCGTGACGCAGGCGCACACGAGCGGTCATGGCCAGTTGCCCACGACCCTGCAAAACATGTACATTGTACTACATGTACTTTCACTTTAGCTCATGCATAATACATGTACATGTACATGTACACCCTTCAAAGCGGTGAACCCCTTGTACTTGTGGTCTAGGAGCCAAGTCAGCAAAAGTCCAAGGAATAAGCTTATAAGGTATTGATAGGCGACAAGCCTCTGGGTCATCCTAATAAAGATATTATTATTATTACATGTACATGTATATTCGGCGATTTCTCGGTAAAATCTCAGAATTCGGCGAAAGGATCGGCGATTTTCTGAAAAGGCTACTTTCGGCGAATTTTTCGGCCGGCCGATATGGGAAAGGCCTACTTGCCAACATTCAACGCTTGGTCGACACGTACTCTGATGATCTGCCAAGCTCTTCAACTATATCAACTGACATCCGAAAGTGGGTCAGGAAATGGAAGGACGCAGCACAGAAGTCTCGTGCACTTCCAGCTACCCCACGAGCTCTTGTGCATTGCGATGCTGATGTTTTCCCGAACATCCACGTCCTCCTCCGGATTGCTTCAACACTACCCGTCACCTCTGCGGAGAATGAGCGCAGCAACACTGCCTTGAAATGGCTGAAGCACTACCTGCGCTCGAGCGCTCGACAATGGGATCAGAGCGCCTATCCTCTAGCCCTTTCCCAAAGGTGCCCGCCCTTTTTTCGCCCTTTTCGGCCCTTTTTGGAAAAGCCCGTTTCTTTCGCCCTTTATAAGGGCGGAAGAAAACTGAACCCCCCTTGAAAAAATCCTGGATCCGCCCCTGGAGGCATCTCGGATCTTGGACAGTGCAGGGCGCCTAACTGTGTACAAAGGATTTGTACGGCCTATAATGGAGTACGCTCCTCTCGTCTGGGCAAGTGCGGCACATTGTCACCTCCATCAGCTGGACCTGGTCCAGCGTCGAGCCATGAAGGTTATTGGCCCCTCATTGCTCCCCAGCCTGGCAATCCGAAGGCATGTTTACGGGCTGTGCTACCTGTATAAGCTGCAATGCATACCAGGTCCAGCTCTGCTTACCAACATGTTAACTCCCCCAGCAAGAGTTAACGCTGCACCCCGGACGCGCCGGCAACGCCAGTCCCTCGGTGGCCACTCTTTCCAACTCGCAACTCCTCTGCCGGACTCCAGTCCAGAGTTCATCCGCCGCTCCTTCCCATACTTTGTCCTGGAGAGCTGGAACACACTGCTTGCCCCAATCCTCGCCGAACGCCCAACTCTCAAGAAATTGCCGACATTCAAGACCAAGGCCTACCATCACCTCCGCCAGACCAATTGGCTATGGGCCACTGACGTCCACCAGCACTGAGAATAACCGGTTGTCTCTATTATTATCATTTTCTGTTTCTCTCTCTCTCTCACTCTTCCTCTCCTGGGAAGCTCCTCATGCTCATTCTCCCTTGCTCTGTCCATTTCCCCTTCCTGATGCGTAGACCAACTGTTGAACCCGAGACCACTAGGTCGGGGGAGGTTGACCTACCTCATCGGCACGCATGCCAGGCTCCTCTGTGTTGTCAATGTTCGCTTGTCCAATTTTGTCTACCTCCCCTTTTATGTTGCTGGCCAGTGCTTTGTAGTAAAAAAAGCCATTATCGATTTTTTATCAAAACTCACGATTTATCCTTTCCTTTTTGGCCTTGTGGTTATGAATGCTGTCTGCTGACCATGAAGTTGTGAGTTCAAACCCCAAACTATCTTCAAGTCAATGTTGAGTCACCTCCACCATCACACTGCGCTCTTTAGCCGACTAGACCCTCCTGCACACAACCATCACCATTGCGAGGACACTTCCGTAGACGATATTGATAAACTCCTTCAGACAGCTGTTCCGCTAATACATAGCTCATCAGTGAAGGTAGATGTTGAATGATTAAAAATATAGACCAAACTGCTATTATATAGGGGATTTCCACATACAAAACTGGCATGGCTGAGGTGATAACGCGGGAAAAGGAAAGTGTGAAGTACTGTTGACGCGCATTGGACATGCATGCAGCGTCGGAAATTCGGCGCGGAAAATCAATCACTATTCAATGCAGAAATAACGTGCCAGAATCAGAGTACTATGTAGCTAGTGAGAGTCTGTGTACTAGTATTGCAGTTGTCCGAGCGCCATGAAGGCCTGCGAACGCACCTCACGACCCGCCGACGTCGACAGCCACATCAGCCCCTGGGGCATGACACTGTACTGCTCGCCCGTCGCGCCAAGACGCTTGGCAGTCACTAGGCTTCATGCCACCGATGTTGTCCGCAAGCTACCTTGTTATCTGCCCATCACCCACTGCCGCTGACACGCTGCATGCATGTCCAATGCGCGTCAACAGTACTTCACACTTTCCTTTTCCCGCGTTATCACCTCAGCTATTCCAGTTTTGTATGTGGAAATCCCCTATATAATAGCAGTTTGGTCTATATTTTTAATCATTCAACATCTACCTTCACTGATGAGCTATGTATTAGCGAAACAGCTGTCTGAAGGAGTTTATCAATATCGTCTACGGAAGTGTCCTCGCAATGGTGA